GTCGTCGTCCTCCTCGTCGTCGTCATCTCCCCGAGCATTCGTGTGCAGCTGGGAGCTTGATCTTGGCACTAGGGTTTCGGGTTTGGCATTTAGGGCTGTGGCCTCAGAAGAAGCGTTGTGCAGCGCAGCACCTCTCAGCCCAAATCCCAAGTCGGTCCGGTTAGCCCAAACTAGAGACCCTGAAGCTGAAAAGCTCCAGTGAAGTCCGAGAAGCTGAAACCCAAATCTTGAAGACATGAAGCACCCTAAACCTTAACCTCTCTAGACTTTAAGCCCTGCGTAAAAACTTTGAACACGAAGCCCGCCAGTCCCTGAACCCTAAACTCTGCAAGCCTCATTGGCCCTGAACCCTAATGGGAGCCCACCCTGTAACCCGAAACCTCACCTAAGCCCCTGTAAATCGCAAAGCAGCAAGGAAAGAGAAGGCCGTCGAGAGCTTTGCAGCCCTCGAGAAGGCCCGCGAGACGGGCTCGCGTCCAGGGGGTCGCAGGACTGGTTTGGGAGTCTCATGGGCAGTTAGCTCTCTAAACCCTAAAACCCTAAGCCCTAAACCCTAAAGCCTAAATTAGGGTCCCTTTTCAGGTTCCCCCTAATAAAGTACCCTTATAAAAAGGACCCTAAAAAGGGACCTTATTTTAGAGAACTACCCTCATCACGGTGTCAAGCACCAAAATCTCATCAATGCGACACGTACAGAAGCTCCGACTCGGGCTTATAGGGTTGCTAGGGCTTCTAGGGTTTAGAGGGTTTGGGGTTTAGGGTGCTTTTATACCCCATGTCAGGGCACCAAAATTGACTAACGACCCTCCCCCTCAACACCTAACCCCTGGATCTGAAACCCCCACTTAAAGTGCGGTGCCCTCTGCAGCTTAGCGTCAACGGGCTTGGAGTTTGAGGTGTGGGGTTGGTGCTTTAGGGTTTGGGCTTTTGGGGTTTGGGGTTTAGGGTTCGTTGTTTTCAATCCTGAACCCGAAATCCCAAACCCTGACAAACCCCAAAGCCTGAAAAGCAAAAAGAAGCCAAGACGGCAGCGAGGACAAGGGGGCCATTAACGAATACAGGACCCGAGACCTCAAAGCCGGCCAAGGCTTTGGGGGTTTAGGGTTTGACTGTTTGGGTGTAGGGATGACCCTAAACCCTGAACCCTAAACCCACAACCCTAAACCCTAAACCCTAAACCCTAAACCCTAAACCCAAAAACCCTCAAGAGGGTTTAGGGTTTAGGGCTTCAAGCCGGGCCTCCGCATCCCGTTCAGGCTCTAACCGCTCAGGTTGAGTCGACCATGTCAGCCCCTGGGAAGCACAAAGGGCTAGGGGTTCAGGGTTTACGGTTGAGGGGATTAGGGCTAGGGTTTGGGGTTTAGGGGTTTGGGGGTTTGGGGTTAAGGGGTTTGGGGGTTTNNGTTTGGGGGTTTAGGGTTCAGGGCCCGAAACGCCCACTAGTCGTTGTAGAGTAGGAATGTAGGGGGACCCCAATCTCGCCACCATTATCACGTCTGGTCACTGTTACTGGGCGGGGGGCTTATCCTAAGCTAAACCTCCCAGCGAATCATATATTCCGGAGCCCGAATCTGATCATCAAGTCTCTTTTGTTTTCCTTCGGGGGTCCACAGTTTTAAATTTGAGAGCGCCAAAGTATGACCAAAATCAGAAGAGCTAAGCAACCGGAACCCCATAAGAGTTCAAGGACCCTAAAGCCCAAACACCAAAATTTGGAAAAAACACAAGCACGAACGCCCTAAACCCCCTAGAGAGGTAAACTGAGGCAAACTTCCGGGCTTGGTCTTTGGGTGGCTGCAGGGTTCCCAGGAGTTGGTGTTTTTTCAGTTTGCTGATTTCGTTTTTTTTCTTTTTTTTTTTTNNGGGGCGGGGTGTTAGGGAATTAGGGTCTCATAGGGCTTTGGGTCTTTAAGGTCTTCTGGGGCTTAGGGTTAAGGGCACCCTAGACCCTTTTAGGGTGTTTAGGGTCGTTTAGGCATCCCATGGCTGAACGTAGTCCTAAACTTCGGAGCTTTGCTGTTGGGCTTCAGGGGTTTTAGGGTCCGGCTTAGGGTTTAATTAGGGCCTAGGGTTTAAGGTTTAGGGAGCTAGAGTTTAGGGCTCTTGGGACGGTTTGTTTTCCCTGTGCATGCTGGTGAAGCAGAGCATAGTAAGGGACCTTCCTGTAAAGCGGAAGATCACCATAGCAGGGCAGTACTTAGGTAATGCGCCACACCTTGTTCCACAGGACATGGCTGCTTGATAAGATTACATGTTACTGCAACATTTATCTTCGGTGCAGCTCATTGCACCGAGCACCTAGTTTCTAGAAGCCCGTCCGAATCAAGACCACCCTTCCCTCTAAACACCCCAAACCCCAACACCCAAAATCCACAACACAAAGCCTTAGACCCTAAACCCAGACACCCGGAATCACGCACATCGGAATACCTGAAATCTTCCATTTTTAGCCGTCGGGCCGGGGCGCTGAGGAGTTGACTGCGCTGGCCGGGCCGCAGCCGCGTTTGTACCTGGGCTTCGGTTCCGATAACTTAGGGTTTGGGGTTTAGGGTTTCGGGTTTAGGGTTTAGGGCTTAGGGTTTAGGGTTTAGGGTTTTAGGGCCTTTAGTCGCTAATGAGAGTACACTTTAAGCTTTTTGGGATACGATGACTCCTTACGGAACTGAAAGAGTATTCACTTTTTTGGGTTTCTGAACTAATCAACTAACATATGTAAAGACTGAGCCTTGGTTAGGGTTTCAACACCCGCAATCTTCAATACAAAACTCCCCCAAGCCCTGCACCCTCAGCCTGCTCTTCCTATTCCAAGAGCAGATTTTGTGTTCCCCTGTGTGGGGCTTTTGGTCTCTGCGGCTCTGTGGCTTCAGGAGTCGGGAGTTTAGGACACGTGTCTCAGAGCTGCGGGGTATCAGACAGTATATTACAGATGATGTACTACCTATGATGTAATGCAGATTTCTATTTTGTATTTTATATTTTGCATATTATGTTGAGGATTTCGGCAGGACCTCAGGAGCCCCCTGGAAGGGTTCTGGTGCTTCCAGCGTCTCTTGCATAGACCTCCCTGAAGTTGTGCAGCTTGCTGGGTGGTTGTACGGAAACCCTAAGCCCTAAACCCTAAACCCTAAGCCCCAAACCCCAAAACCCAAAACCCTAAACCCCAACCCTAAGCCCTCTAAACCGCACAAAGCCGCTGGGCCCTGACGCCCTGCACCCAGGCCCATCGACCCGCGCGAGCGAGCGGGCAGCCAGGAGCCATCGCTGGTACCATGAGATCATCAGAAGATACGGGCGGACAATGTGGACCGTAAATGCTCGTAGTATGTTCCCGTTATAAGCGCCCCTGAACAACATACCCTAATTGGAAAGAGGCCCCCCCCCGACAACTGTCGTTATTTTTGTTACCTTAGTTGCGGTGGTTTGGGGTGTCAGCTTTTTCAGATTTTTGAATGCAGGCAACTTTTGCCAAGTCCCGCAGCTGCTGACCCATAAATCCCGAGCGCATTCTGTACAGAACCTCAGCAGGAATCGCAAGTTCAAGGTGGTCCAGATGCTGCTGGCAAGGGCCTCGGACGACCCTGCATGAGGGTCTAGCCATCCCATTCAAGATCTTCATATTCTGGATGGCACCATGGAGGGTCAGGTTTGGTTGCACGTGAGAGAAGTGTAGAGATGCTTTTGCGGATGTGTGCGGTGCCGAGCATAAGTCAAGGGTGTCACAGTGTGATCTCCAAGTTGAGGTTGGTCGACATGGGATGTGCACACGACAAAAAAGCAGCCGGAATCCTGAATCATCAGAATAGGGTTTCAGGATATGAGATTTTGTTGCACAAAAACCCTAAACTGCCCTAAACCCTAAGCCTAAGAAAATATCGGCTTTATCAAACCCAAAACCATGAGAGCACTGTGTTCGCGCTTCGCGCTGAAGCTGGCGCAAGAGAGGCAACTCTTCGGATGCTACCATTTTCAACCCAAAAGCTAATCCGTAGCTGATGCTTGGACTCGGGCCCAGACGAGAAGTTTCGAGATGGCAGTTCTATGCTGTTTGATGTGATGTGCGTCATCGAAAGAGGCCAAGAGTCATGAAAGCATGCCACGCAATCGCGTGAGACACTGAAGAGAGGGCTCCTTAAAAGGATGTATACGGGGTTTCTATAGTATAGGGGGTACAGTATGGGTTCTGAAAGAGATGGATAAGGGATTTCTACAGCCAACCTAGCAAGGGAGAACGTGATTGAGGCGTAGACAAGGCCATCGCGCACTACCAGCTTCCATGCAAAACAACCCTGAACCCCTGAGCTCCGGATATCCCAAAACACTTGAACCCCCGCACCATAAAACCCAAAGCCCCAATGCCTGAACCACAAACTCTGGAAGAACATCTCCGCACGCCCTCCCTTGCAGGTCTGACACCCCGCGTGGCTGAGCCATCTCAGGCGCAGAGATCTTGAATAGCTTAGGCTTCGGGGTTAGGGTTGAGGGTTTAATCGGTTTACAAAGGGCAGGGACATGGACAAGTACAAAGGAGAGTTGGCCACAGGGCAACATCTGAAAACTAGCTAGCTTGGGTATCGCTATTGCCAGCACCTGTTGCATGACGGCTGCTATTGTGGCTATTGCCAATATTCTGTCTACATCGAGGTGTTGTAGCCCGGGTCATAGAACAGCCGAGTGCGCAAGCTGGGTTTACCCTAACACCCGCAATCGCCTCAAGTCCCAAAACCCTGCACGCACCAAAAATCTAAACCAAGACCCCAAACCCTAGGCTCCCAATCCTGCACCGCCCTCCAAGAGCTTTCGGGCGGTGGATCGATGACATCAAACACTTCCTGGAGATAGGTAGGAGATCATGCTTTGGTTCTAAAAGGTTTTGTAACGCTAAACCCTAAATCCCTAAATCCCTAAACCCCTTAACCCCTAAACCCTAAAGCCATAAGCCTCTAAGTTCTTGGACTAGGGTGTTGAGCCTTCAAGGGTGGGGAGTTTCAGATTTCGGAGCTTCAGGAGCTTTAGGGTTTAGGCTGTAGGGTGTAGGGTTTAGGGTTTAGGGTAGGAGCTGATGCGCATGGTAGTTGTTGAGCAGTCGCATTGGAGCATAGAGGTTTAGGGTGAGGGGTTAGGGCCGGAGAATCTGGGGGACTCTTGCACCCTTAACCATAGTAGAGTATACCCCAAAAGGCCCCCAAAATCCTATTCGGTAGAATTCGCGGTAGTCTCCCCTTAATAGGTCCCTGTAATACTTGTAGACTGGCAAGTTTCAGGCTTCTAGGTTGCCACCTTGGGGTGGGATGCCTCTAGGCGCCTGCTGTCCATCGCCAGGGCGACATCGACTCACCGAAAGCCTGGACGGCGAAGAAGCCGCGGACCAGCTTCCCGGATGCAACCGGCACCCTGAGCCCCTAAGCCCTATTAGCCCCTAAATCCTAAATCCCTAAAGCCTAAACCCTACTAGCCCCAAAAAGCTACACCAGAAGATACGGTTTTCGGGGTCTTGGGCTTGGAGCCTAGGGCAGACTGAGCTACTGAAGGGCTTAGGGTTTAGGGTTTGGGGTTTATGGATCCAGTTTGAGGTTTCAGGATTAAGGGTTCAGGACGTATTTTCAGGGGCATTTTGAGGTCGCCGAAAGTTGCCTTGCATGGACGCCGAGTCCTAAACCCGAGCCGCCTCAGCTACCGGCGAATCTTCCAGCCCTATCATTGCGCACGTCTTATCTTGCGATAGAGCACCACAAGCTGCTAAAGCCTAAACCCTAAACCCCTAAAGCCTGAACTCCTCGACCCCAGGCTCGAGCAAAAATGCTAACTGCCTACGCTCTGAAGCCTTGAATCTATGAAGGCTGCCGCTAAAACCCCCAACAGCAACAAGCCCTGAAGCCATGTCACCAAAGGCTTTCGTGTTCTTGGTGCGCTGGTGCCGGAAAACCGGCTGCAGAAAGTGCAGATGTTGAGGGCTTTTGGGGTTGTCGGGCTTTGGGGCGTGAGGATTCGAGGTCTGGCGTTGGGTTTCTTGGTTTGGGGTTCGAGGATTTTAGGGCGTCTACTTAGAGAAAGTTCGGGCTGTGGGTTTGGACCTCCCTCGAAGATAGGTTTGCCTTCAAGGGTGCTTGTTACAAGGGCGCCGTATTCTTCAGGTGACACAGGGAGCAAAAGCGCAGTGTCGTACTAAGCAGCCCAAAATCCCTGAACCCCTAAAGCCCAAAGCCTAACTTTCTAGACCCCACAGACCCTAAACCTGCAGACCCAAAGACCCCAAACCTCTAATGAAACCCCGCAACCGCCAAGTACTCCCACTACCCTCGAAACACCCTAAACCTTAAATATCTGGACCTTAAACTCTATGGACCTCCAGACCCCATATCCCCAAAACTTTCAGACGGTAAGCCCCCTGAAACCCTAAACCCTAAACGCCTAAACACCCTAAACCCCCTGAGCCCCCTAAGCCCCCTAAGCCCCCTAAACCCCAAACCCGAACCTCCAGCTTAGCCTCATCTTCTCCAGCGCGAGGCCTGCCTGGGGGTCCTGAAGAAGCCGACCGAGGTCGACGAGCCTTCCTAGGACCCGACGAATCCGGGTCGTTGTCTAAATTAGGGTCCCTTTTCAGGTCCCCAATATAGTACGGCACCCTTATAATTTTATAAACTATTTTTAGAGAACTACCCATAGTCTGAGTGTTCTCGTTCTTTCTTTTTATGAGGTCTTCTTTATTCGGGTTCATTTATAGGTTAGACTCGAGCTTTGCGGGCCTAGATCATCGATCCTGGAGATCTCGCGAATTTCAAGGCCTTGGGCTTTGGGGTTTTTTTGCGCCGCAAAAAGCATTTTGGGTTTAGGGTTGTTGGGGTTAGGGTTTTCATGGTTTTTGGGTGAAGGATTTTGGAGTTTAGCGTTTGGGGGTTTGGGAAAGGATCGGCATGTCTCACCCAACAGGGCGTTTGAGAGTGTTTTGCCTGGGCCGATTATGAGGTTAGAGGTTATTGCATGGTCTTCACGGGTTGAAACAAGTGCCATAAGGCTCATTCAATTCGTTGAAAAAAAGTAGACCATACCTCAAAACCCCACCTCCTGTAATGCTTGGGTCATCGGGGTGTTTCCAGGCAGAAGGGATGTTCCGGGATGCAATGAACGAAAAAGCGATGTCTGGGTGTTAGGCATGTTTTGTATCGTGCAGCTCAGGCATCAAAATGGGGGTTTCCGAAAATAGGGGACCCTAATATAGTACCCTGAATAGTAGGATCCTTGGGAAAGTCCCAAATGTAGCATCTGCGCAGCGAGAGGACGCAATAAGATGTCCATGCCGGCCTAACATAGAAGCCCAGTTCCTTATCCCCCCCCAAGCCCCAGTGCAACTAGTGCCCCTATACTAAAGCTTGAAAAGCCTACAGAACCCTTGACAAAGTCTGATGAACACCGCAAAAACCGTTAAGGCCCTGTTCCAATTATTCTGGCCACTACGTTATGTCGTTTCTGTGTTGCCAGGAGGTGTAGCTCTCCATGGATGCGCTGGCCTGCAAGTGCTGCATTGAATTCGGTGATATAGGGGCCTCTATAGCTAGAATATGTGTGTGTTTTGGGGGGTTTTCTATTCCATACGGTGGTCTCAGTAACTGTAAGTAAGGAATCCTTAGAAATGGTATTGGCAACTATGGAGGCCCCCTAGAAATAGCACGAGATCCACATTGCAAGTGCGATGGAGCGGCGACACTGCCAGTCTCGGGCCCTAAACCCGAAGCCTAAAGTCTAAAGCCCAAGAGAGCCGTGGCCTCCTGCTGGGGCAGACATCGCACGTTGCCTCCTGCGTGCCGTCAGCGCGCGTCTTCACAGCCAGAGTCTTTGCGCTGGGCTTTGGTGACAGGTCGAGAACCCGGCGGATGAAGTGCTATGGTCCCAGAGGTGCCGGCGAAACTCAGATGGTGCAGAGATGCAGAGATTGCGGTCTTAAGAGCCGAGTACTGCAAGGTCTTCTTCCTGTCCCGCTGTTCTCCCCAGCCCGTGCACAGACCGGGCACCAGACAACTTTGTACTCCTTTTCCCTATCTCCGGACCAGCTTGCTGGTTTCTGTATGGCATCTGCCAAAGGCAGACTGCCGCAGACAGGCGAGGCGGTGTCTCGAAAAATCCAATCACAAGCTTTTGAATGCGTCCGTTTCGATCCAAGTTGTGTGAGTGGGGCAGTGGGGACGGCGGGACTGGACACCGTTGCATTCTCGTGCTTGCCCAACTCAAGCCGCGGACGCAATATGACTGGAGTTTTCAAGAAGTCACTAGGTATGTTACATGGGTCCCTGTATTCCTGTATGATGAGTACAGACCTGCGGCATACTACACCCCTCACCCAAATGAGTCAAGTGTGAATGAAGGACCCTAACTGACCGGACTGCCCTTATCACAATCAACGCATCACGCAGAACCCGACAAGGACGAATCTGAGAGAACCCTGCAGAGCTATAGATCCTTCTAGGCAGAAGCCACAACAGCCCCCGTGCACAATGTTGACGCATTGTTTTACTATATGCTAGACGAAAATAGTTTTGCAATGGTCTCGGGAGGGCAGCACCATGACGAAAAGCTTGGACTCTACGTTTCTTGAGTCGGGCACTCGGCATTCGCCATTGTGTTAAGCAGCGGAGGCGTTGACAACTTGCTTGTGTTGAATGTTATCTCTACAGGGCAGTCCGGCAAAAGTTTCGTGCAAGCGAGAGCCATGATGAGAATGCTTCATTAGGGTTTAGGGTTAAGGGTTTAGAGTATTCTGCTGACTATTTTTGTTGGTTGGCCGAGGGTGGACCAGCGCATCGTTGAGGAGATATCCTGCTATCGGAATGACCAGCGCGACAAAGACGAAATTCTTAGCATCGTCGAGGCATCCGGGGTGCGCTGCATCTTTACTCCAATCTAGCTGGGCTGTTGGCAGTCTGTCATGAATCCCAGGTAGGGATCCCTCTAGACTTGTTTGGGGTTTAGGGGTTCAGGGTTTGGGGGTTTAGGGCTTAGGGTTTTAGGGTTTAGAGGTTTAGGGGTTTAGTCGCAGCTTGAATAAACGAATGTAGCTCCTCGCGCCAGAAGCATGGCTGGGCGCTGCGCTATGCCCCACCACTCTTCAAGTACTCGGAAGAGATCTGCGCCTGTCGCCCAGAACCATTGCAACATGTGACATGGTTGGGTGCACGTCGGGGTTTGGTGTCTTCAAGCTATATAGTATAAAGAGGTAGTCCTGGGTCCTTGCATCTAATGTGTAGGAACCTGATGAAGAAACCCTGGCCCCACAAGCCCAAAGCATTAGATTTCATATAAAGACCCCTAACAAGCACCCATGGTCTCTTAAACAGGTTCCTGCCTTAGGATTTTGGGTTCGGAGCTTGTTCCTGATAAATACTGTGGTGCCGTTCGGCGTCGCCGACTGCCCAAAGAGCGCAACATGCCAGAAATCATCCCTAGACCTCTAAACCCCTAAGCCCCCAAACCCCTTAAGCCTTAATCCCTAAACCCCTAAACCCCTAAACCCCTAAACCCCTAACCCCTATAACCCCTAAACCCTAAGTCCGAAAATGGTAGAACTCGGAAGGTCGCCGCGGTGAAGTCATACCCACTGGTCCTGGAGTTTATCTCACCAGACATGCGGGAGAATGAGAAGGCCTGAATACCTTAGTAGGGTTTAGGGGTTTAGGGATTTAGGGGTTTAGGGGTTTAGGGGTTTAGGAATTTAGGGGTTTAGGGTCTAGGTTTAGGGGAGCTAAACCCGCGCTGGCTTGCTTGTCCTAAGCCCCTCAAAGCCGTAAACTCCAAACCCGCAGACCCTCGGAACCCTCAAGCCCCAATATTATAGGAGCCCAAATAATTACCAATATTATCTCGGGGGTTCCAGATTATACTTATAGTATAATATACCCCAAAACCCTGCTCTAATTATTAAAGCTTTTGCATTACCCCAAAACCCACAAATCCTCAACCTGCCTCAGGTGGTAAAACAGGCTGTGAGCCAGTGTGGGATGGCCCTGCTCTTCGTCCTGAGCTCAGTAACATCCCACTTGGAGTTGAAGGTTTGAAGTTTTGGGTTTGAGAGTGTTGGGTCTTGGGGTTAGGGTGTTGACTCAGAAGGCCATAAGGCTGATGATTTTAATCCTGCAGTACCCATAAGCACATCATAATTCCCATCGTTTAGAGTCCTGAAGGTAATGCATGATTTATATCATCAGCAGTAACTCCCTGATTTCCAAAACCCAGCACTGTGAACCAGAGGGTCTTGGGGGATGTTGCTGCCGAGTTTCCCGAAACTGCACGCCCTCCACTGTAATAGAGGGGCCGAAATAATTACCAATTCCATTTGGGGGTTCCTGATTGTAATCAAGATATGATATACCCCCCCCCCCCCCCCCCCAATTCTAACTATAAAGGCCCCTATAGTACACGCTTTCGAGGCAACTACCAAGATGCGGAACCGGAAGGATGCGGTCATGAAGGCCCGCCTAAGATTCGGACGGGAGCCTGAATACTTCCTTGTACTGCTCCCTAGGCCCGAGGGTTCCTTTTAGTCGTATTGTTCCTTCACAGTCCGTTGTTATTATAGTTGTAGCACAGTATACTTCCAAAACCCTATCATACCGTTGTTATAGTTGCAGTATAGTAGTTATAGTTGTAGTGTAGTATACTTCCAAAACCCTATTATACTGGTCTTTCAGCCCCGCTGTTGGCGAAGATTTGCAGGGGTCGTCACCTTGCCGGCCCCCTCAGCTCGTGGCCAGCGGATACACTCCTAAGCCTAAGCCCTAAACCCAAAGCCCCAAGCTCTAAATCCGAACCTCTAAATCCGAAACCCTAAGCTCAGAGGCCGTCCAAAACTGTGGTTTGGCTCTGGAGTTTGCCCACCCGGACTGCCTGCTTTTTGGGCTTCGGGGCCTAGCGGGCTCTTCGAAGGCACTG